GCCGGCCCCCCCCGCCGGGGCCGCGAACGTTACTCCGAGTCTCTGTTAGTGTCGGGTGGGCGGAGCGAGCCTGCGGGCGCCTGTGCTTAGGAGCTGGGGTGCGAGCCGAGAGGTGACCGAGGTGACCGTGAGCGGTATCACTCGGACCCTCTATCCCGACGCCCCAGGAGGACTTTGGAACCGGGCTGACACTGTTCTCCGGTAACTGCGTGGCCCAGGTGGCCGAGATCCTCTAGAATTTCGAAAGACCACAGGAATCGCCGAGCTCAACCCTCCCAGCCTGTGCAGATGGCTGTCGCGCTTCTGTGGAACCTTTCAGGGCTCTTCTGATTTCAGCCGAGAAAGGACAAGTATTTAGGGAGCGATCCCTAGTGAGAAAGTCGGTGGGGAAGCTCCAGCAGTGGTCCCCAGGCCCCCGGCAGACCTTGTAATACAATGTACCTCTTCGACCCGTTGTAAACAATGTAATCGCTCTCCAGTTACTGTACAGCCGGTGGCAGATCTTCACATCTAGCTGGGCAATCCCACCCAAGTGTCTCCTGTTGACAATAAAACCTGGCTCACCAGTTCTCACGCGCTTTTGCTCCCAGAGCTTCTCAACAACATTCTACATTCTAGAACTGTGTCATTTCATGTGCTGGATGGCTCCCATCCATTCCTGCCACAAAGTACTGTCATTCCCTTTTAGTCTTAAAAAACGCTCCCCTGTCTGTTACCTGAGGTCTGGAGTTCACTACGCTGCACCCGTCCCTGGCTCGTGGCAGCTTGTTAGCCTCTGGTGCAGTTGACTGTGGGAGACAGCTCTCAAAGATAAGCTGCCCACACATCTTTATTTGGTATAACCACAAAACAGTTGGCCAGTCCTAATTAATCTGCGTTCAGTGCTCTTCCCAGCCTACAATGAGTAGTGGTCTGGAGGGTACAGAGAAGGGGTCCGGAGTGCTGAGGCAGAGGCGATAGGTACTGATCTTCAGGAGCTGAGCAAACCTATTGACCACTCACAGTTGAGCCTAACTTATTTATACTTCTGTGTGTAAACAGCAGCAGTAGGAGAGAAAGGCAGTTCTTTGTTGGTAGGGAAGGGGAGGACTGTCAGGGTGCAAGATCTCTGATGGTGGGTTTATGAGGTCCTGGATGGATGGCTGGGGCTGAGGCAGGAGGAGAGCCATGATCGCTCACATCGGTGGTTCCCAGACTTGCCATCCTCCATAGTTTCGGCTGACACCTTCGGAGCAGGCACAGGAGAGAAGCCTTTGGAGGCTGTTTCAGAGGCAGTAAGCCTTGGCTTTCTCCGTGGCAGTCCGTTTTCCTGTCTGGGTCAGCCGGCTGTCTAGCTTCCACCTTCCCCCTTATTAGTGGGGAGTGGAAGGGCAATGTTTACATGGCCAACTGCTCTAGTGTTTCTGTATGCTTAATTCTCAGCCTTCTGCACTCTCGGCGAGCCGCAGTTTGCCATTGTTGGCTCTGTTGAGGAAGTGGCCAGGGAGGATACACAGGCTGGACGTGTCAGGCAGCTGTCAAGGTGCAGGGAAAAGAGGATGGGAGGCTGGCGCCACCATTCTTTCCTACGTGACCTTGGGCAAATCACTTAACCTCTGAGAAACCTGTGTTTTGATGATATCAACTACTTTTTAGGGATGTTGTGGAGACTAAGTAAAGCAGTTCGTGGGTAGCACCCTGTTGTAGCATATGGTAAGCTCAGTCTCCTCCTCAGGAATTAATCCCTGAAGGAAACTGGGCCAGACCAGGGAGCTCACCACTTCATGCGGACTTGATACTGCAAGTCTGTACTTCTGCCCTCCCTGCTTGTGTTAGAGGACCAGTGGGGGGAGGGGAGGTGGCTAGAAACCCACACGTCATATGTTAGTATGGGTCCAGCACTTTCAACGCCTGCTGAGCCTGGCACATCCCGTTTCCAGTCACGCAACTGAAATTGGGTTCATGGTCTGTTCAGGATAAAGTACCCTTAAGAGATCTCCCGGAGAGCTCTTCACTTCCTGCACTGTGGCAACTGCTGTGTCAAAGGCTGTACCTTGAGTACATGGTGTGGGTCAGGAGGATTGTGCATGTATTTAATTTCTCTTTTTTTTTTTTTTTTTGAGAGTTTTTTTTTTTTT